GTTAAACAACTTAACCTCTAATATCTGAAATCTGTAAAATTATTAGAGAAATATTTGGTTACCAGAAAGGATAAAAAATCCATCATTGGAAATCCTCATTCCATGACATTGCCTAAAAGTAAATATCTTGCTCTAATGTTAGGAGGGAAAAAAATCCCAAATATAGTAAAGATCTGGTGTTCACCGGGTACAAAGTGGGTTTTAAAGCCTATAAACAAGACTCGTCAGTTTGCCAGACTATATAGATGCAGAAGAATCTCCCTCCACAATTCTGCCAAAAAGTAGAAGATAAAATTTCACCAAAAACAGTTTTACAAATTGCAGATGAGCTCGTGAAAGGGAAAACCCCCAGGTGTCAGAAACAGAGCGGAACCCAAGATAAGAAATGTGAGCATGGAGTATTGGCCAGATGGGGTCACGGAGGTCTGAGATTCAGGAGGGAGATGAATGTCTAGGGATAGCATCCACAGGCCAGGGCACGTATCCACTCTGTGGGAGTGAGAGGGTGGGGCAGGGAGCTGAAGCCTAGATGAGCGGTGGTTCCATTCATGAAACAGCCTAGCAAACTCCACCAGCAGCCAGAGAAAGCCTCAAGGAAGCTTGTCTCCTGTCTGCTGCTGTGAGAGAAAGAAGAGATGCCTGTGAACCATAAGAGCACAAGCCTGTACCATACACTGGTATGGGGTTCGATGTCACACCCCCAGGACAGTGCCAAGACAAACAGGAAGTCATTGTGCATGGACACTTCATGACTCAGGAAACATGGGACTCCCATGCAAAACAGTCCCTGCTAAAGACGAACTTACAGGCAAAATTAAGTGTGTTCGAAGAGATGAAGGACATCGGGTACTAGTATTTATAGGAGAAGGAGGAGGGTACCTGGGTGGCTCTCAGTTGAGCCTCTAACTCTTGATGTTGCCTCAGGTTATGATTTCAGGGTGGTGAGACTGAGCCCTGCCTTAGTCTCTGGACTCAGCATGGAATCTGCTTAAGATTCTCTCTCTTCTTCTGCCCCTCACACCATCCCAGGTAGCTCAGTTGGTTAAGCATCTGCCTTCAGCTCAGGTCATGGTCCCAGTGTCCTGGGATCGAGTCTTCATTGGGCTCCCTGCTCCACAGGAAGTCTGCTTCTCCCTCTGCCCCCTCTCACTTGTTCTCTCAATCTCTCTCTGTCCCTCTCTGAAATAATAAATAAATAAAGTCTTAAAAAAAAAAAAAAAAGAAAGAAATCCCAGAATGGAAAATTGTTAATTGAACTGTGTGAATATGTTGGGTTGGTTGAACATTGTGAATAATGGCTGATATTTAGTATGGTTTCAAGGATGTTGTTCTTTCAACCAGAGAGAAAACTTTTCAGCGCATAGTTAGAAAAATGCCTACCATATAAACGGTCCTGAGTGCCAAACATGCAGATTGAAACCGAAGTTGAAATTGGCCTGCAAGTTCTAATTAAGGGAGAGCTGAAGGGATCATCCAAGTGTAACAAAGAAGCCTTGTTTGAAGTGCTCTTCTTAAATGGAGTAGCTGCAGACCCCACTGGGAACAGGCCACGCTTTGGTTCTGCTCGCTGACCCACCTCTAAAACATCTCCTCCCTTCTCCCAGCTCTCCCCTCCCACCCTAGGGCGGGGGCGGGTCTGCAGGTCACTGACTAGGTTGAGGGTATCTGTAGCCGCAGCCTTGGACCACGGTGTACTCTTGGGCCCGCACCAACTCTGCCCTCATTCTCAAGGGACTCTAGTGATCTAAACAGACCATCAGTACCACTTCTACTAGAACTGATTCCAGAAAATATGTAATACAGCTGATCTTCCTCTTTTCTTTTAAGACTTAGAAATTAACTGTCATCCCACTGTCAATTTATGGTGACATCATGATCGACTAAAATGCCACCATAGTTTGATTGGTGACCATTTAATAAACAGCTAGCTTTCTGTGTCTTTATATTTTCGAACGAGCAGGAACTTTCTTTCCTTTCTTGCGTAGTACTTACCTAAAACAGCTCCAGGTACATAGAGCACATCAATACATACTTTTCTATACTGTATAATTATCTGAGAAGTTTTGTTTCAGATTCTTTTTAACTGTTTGTATACTTATCTTCCTTAAAATGAAGATTTAAAACTTAAGTCTTCTTTTATAAAACCATCTATTAAAGACAAATAAAAACTCAAATGTTATCGTTTCTGAGAAGCTGCCTCTTTGACCATATTATGTGACCTCTTCAGCCTCTTAGCAGTTTGTGGGCATCTGTACCATCAAACTGTTCACCCCATGTGCTTTAAGTGTTTGTTTAGGTATTACCTGTTCTTTTTTTTATTATTATTATGTTCAGTTAGCCGCTGTATAGTACATAATTTGTCCTTGATACAGTGTTCAGTGATTCAGTAGTTAAGTATAACACCCAGTGCTCATCACAGCACGTGCCCTCTTCATACCGATCACCCCTCCCCCCCTCCTCCCCTCTGAAACCCCCAGATTGTTTTTTGGGATCCATAGTCTCTCATGGTTTATCTCCTGTCCGATTTCTCCCCCTTTGGATTTCCCTCCTTTCCCCTATGGTCTTCTATGCTATTGCTTATGTTCCACATGAGTGAAACCGTATGACTATTGTCTTTCTCTGGTTGACTTACTTCCTTAACATAATCCCTTCCAGTTCAATCCACGTCAGTGCAAATGGTGGGTATTCATTGTTTCTGATGGCTAAATAATATTCCATTGTGTATATGTACCACATCTTCTTTATCCATGCATCTGTTGAAGGGTATCTCAGCTCCTTCCACAGTTTGGCTATTGTGGACATTGCTGCTATGAACATTGAGGTGCATGTGCCCCTTCTTTTCAGTACATCCATACCTTTGGGGTAAATACGCAGTAGTACAATTGCTGGATAAAGATAAACTCAAAATGTATGAAAGACCTCAATATGAGACAGGAATCCATCAAAATCCTAGAGGAGAACACAGACAGTTACATCTTTGACATGAGCCATAGTAATTTCTTTCAAGACATGTCTCCAAAGACAACTGAAACAAAAGCAAAAATGAACTTTTGGGACTTCATCAAGATAAAAAAGCTTCTGCACAGCAAAGGAAACAGTCAGTAAAGCTAAGAGACAGCCCACGGAAGGGGAGAAGATATTTGCAAATGACATTACAGGCAAAGGGCTGATATCCAAGATCTATAAAAAAGTTCTCAAACTCAAAACTCAAAAAACTAATAACCCAGTCAAAAAATGGGCAGAAGACATGAACAGACATTTCTCTAAAAAGATATACAAATGGCTAACAGACACATGAAAAAATGTTCAATATCAGTAGCCATCAGGGAAATACAAATCAAAACCACAATGAGATACTACTTTACACCAGTTAGAATGGCAAAAATTAACAAAATAGGAAACAACGAATGTTGGCGAGGATGTGGAGACAGGGGAACCCTCTTACATTGTTGGTGGGAATGCAAGTTGGTACAGACACTCTGGAAAATAGTATGGAGGTTCCTCAAGATGTTAAGAATAGAGCTACCCTATGACACCAATTCTTGACTCTGACCTCCTTCAGAGTAGTCTTCCTCCCAGTTTTTATCATTCCTCCATACATAGTAGGCACCTCAATATTTGTTGGGTGAATGAATGAACACTTGAAATAACCAAATTACACTGGTACCACTGTATATCAGACCCCAGTGACCCTCAAGTGGCTCCTGTCACTTATACTCAAGTGACTATATCTGCAATCCAGGTGTTTTTTACCTTAGACCAAAGTTTTTGTATGCATTTAGTCATTGAGATTGGAGCATCTGGAAATCTGTTAGCCATTTTCAAGAGCTAAAGAGAGTATAAAAATAAGGGAGAGTTGAACTAAGAACAATTAAAAAGGTACAGGATAAATGGAGAATTCTGCCCTTTTTTTTTTTTTTTTAAACATCGCTTTATTCTGCATGGCGCGTGGAGTTAAGGTGTTGAGATGACCAGGAAACTACATCAGGCAATCCATTTCCCCTTCCTTTTCTGCTTCTAACAGGGAATTTTATATCCTAGTCTTAGAGCCAAGGGACTTAGAAGGAGCTGAGGGAAAAAAAAGGAGGAGCAATATATATAAAAAACCAAGGACTTCGTATTCCTAAAGTGTAATCCAGGGAGGGAATAATAGCTTATTCTACTGATGTTAAATCACAGAAGCAGGGAGAGAGTAGAATTTATAAGAAGAAAGAGGAAAAAAGGAAGTTTTGAAGGCCTTTAAAACACTAAGGCAATAACCCAACTGAAGTTGGTACACAGGTAAGTAAAATACAGAAAGATGAGAAAATTCTTGCAGTGTTGCTAAACCTTTTGTGGAAACTTAAAACATATTCCCAGACAGGGTTTTAGTCCAGTCTCCTCAAGATATAGTTTATCTTTGATCCATTTGAAGTAAGACTCAGCCTGCTAATTCCTGTTTTGGTTTTTCAAGGAAACCACCTCTCCCAAAAACAAATCTATTGAAGGCAAAATAATTTTTAAGGTCAGAGGTTTCAAAAGACGTTGGACTACCCCCACTACATTAGGAATTCTTTTTTACCCTAATTGGCCACAGGGTCCTGTTTCATTTTTAGTAAAAGAACATTTTTAGCCCATTTGAAATAATAAATTTAAAGGCAATGTAAAGCATTTATCTTATATTTAATTTGAGTGTGATAGAAATTGATGGTTTATTTTGTATCCAAAAATCTTGAAAAATATTCACTTAAAATGTGATTGCCAATAACTCTTCTCACAAAGCAGGGTGAAATTATAGAACCAAAAATAGTGGGACCCAAGAAGTTGACAACATTCGAATTCTTAGGAGCAAAAAAGGATGTATGATAGATAACTAACTCAAATGCTGAGGGGTTTTGTTTTGGCTTCATAGCTTATTGTTATTTTAAAGCACACATAGAAATTCATTTATAAACACATTTTGGTAAATTTATACCAATAATTATAGCCAATGAAACTACCACTTTTTTCTCCTATTCCAGGTTGTTGGTGTAGCCCAGGCCATCAACAAGAAATCAGGAAATGGTGGGACATTCACTGAAAAAGATGAAAAGGTACCAAAACTTGTGTCTGACATGACATCAGTTTAAGAAGATGTTTTTTCTTTATAGTGTATAGACCTCTAGAATTAGCTGTAGCTGAAATTGTTGATTACAAAAACCATTATGTTTTAAAATGATCTGAAGTGTTCAAAAGTGTCTTTTTCCTGTAGCTAAATATGGTGCTAACTTTGGAGTACTCGTGGTATCAGTCCTTGGAAGCCCCCCAGCTCCCTCCTCACTGTGCCGCCAAGCCTCCTGGAGGCCTATGTGCGTGTTGGGGCCATCTGGAGGGTGACACGGTATTTTAACTATCCCATTTAACTTTCATCGCTGCTATAAAGAAATTCAACCCGAGTAAAAAAACCCTTGAAGCACTGCTCCAAGTTCAGCACTCCAGGTTGGCTAAAAATTGGAGTTGCCTCCCGATGAAGCAAATTTCAGAATGTTTTATAAGCTTTGCACTCAGACGGTGGGGCGCCAAGGTGTGAATTCCGGCGGGGTGATGTGAATTTAGCTTCAGAAAGAGCAGCAGTCAACATTATTTTATTATTCTTCGCATCCAGTGCTGAAGGAATACATCCCATACACCACGTCGACATGCTTTCCGTCTAAGGACAGAAGCCCCTAAACCTGTTTCTAACTTCATTTTGTCAGTAGGTTTTATTATTTCTCTTCTTGAATACGTAATTATATGTATATCATGGGAGCCCATTGAATCTTCTTATTCAAGCCTGTTGCTATTTAAGTCACTCCCCTGAAAATTAATAGGAGCTTTTGGATGACATTCAAACAAGACAGAGTTATTTTTGTCTCCATGCTGTAGGCTGTATATTGGCACTTGTCTGGGTCCCCATGTCTTAATTGATTCAGAACATAGCAAGTACCTTTTAAAATCAGTATTCTAGACATCTAGTCTCTTTTTTGGTAATGACACCTGAGAATATTTGGTGGGGGAAATGGTTCTAGATTGACTTTATATTTCATCAGTTGTTTATAGTCCATAAATGTAAAGCCCTCTTGAAGGATTTGTGTTCTTAGACTGTATCATCTCTTGGCAAAATAAATCTATGATTGTGAATAACGTTTGCCATGGAGAGACTTCTTTTAATCAATAATTAATATAATTGTGAGCATATCACCTTAGAATAGTATAATGAGGATGACAGATCCATGTTAAAACATATTTAAGCTAATATTTTATACAACTTTATATGAGACTACTATTGCCAATATTCTCAGGTAAGTGTGTTAGATTTTATTTGCCCCAGTAATGAGTTACAAGGTATTTATATGGTCTCAGCACAGACCCAACTCTTAATATCATTCAGAGACTACACTAGATTTTGCATAGAGTGAATTTCAGTTTCAAATGATATAAAGAGATCTGTGTCCTACTCCCTTCCCTCTTCTTCTTAATTTGTAAGTAATGTAGGACTTGAGGAGACTGTGTTCATACTTATCATCTATTTGTTGTGCTAGTTAGCTAACTTGCACTTGCTTTTCATTTGTTCTTAATTTTGTGCAGAATTAACATGTACCCTTTGAATTTCTAATATTTATTTCAACTGTAAACATTTTTGGGTGCTTTTTGTGTTTCAGGCAATATAACAAGGCCAGTTAGTAGACACTTTTTTTTTTTTTTAAAGATTTTATGTATTTATTTGATGACAGAGATCACAAGTAGGCAGAGAGGCAGGCAGAAAGAGAGAGGGGAAGCAGGCTCCCCGCGCAGCAGAGAGCCTGATGCGGACTTAATCCAAGGACCCTGAGATCATGACCTGAGCCAAAGGCAGAGGCTCAACCCACTGAACCACCCAGGCGCCCTAGACACTTCTTAATTTAGCTGTTGTCTTACCTGTTTTCTAGGACTTTGCTGCTTATTTGGCATTTTGTGGTATTGTTCTTCATAATGCTCAACTCTATGAGACTTCACTGCTGGAGAACAAAAGAAATCAGGCAAGTCTGATGACTAAAGAGAGAATATAAAAATTGTTTCTTTAGTTGTTAAATTTTGTCTAAGTAATATATGTATATGATTTAAAAATCTAGTTAATATTTTAGCTGGATTAGAAATAATTATTAGATAATTATAAATTAGATAATTGTAAAATAATTAGAAATAATTATTTCCATTTTCTATTTTCCATGCTCAGTTGCCTTTTCATTAACTTAACAGATGTGGATTTATTTGATTTATATCACTCTTTACTTGCCGTTGTCCTTATCCTACCAATATCATTATTTCTGTTTTAAGTTACTGGATGGACTGCATTTGTCATGTTAAATAAGGCTTTTAGTTCTTGCTCTGTCAACTAGGGACATCATCTCATGATTCCATGCTTTGTAAAATGAGGATCTTAGCATGCCTCATCTCTCCTTCCCAACTGCTACTCCTTACCTCTGCTTTTCCCATCTGGACTTTTTCTGTTGCCCATGACAATAACATATATATTGTACTGCAATCATGGTTAGCTTTTAGTAAGTTTTGTCTAGTTTAATTCTAGAGTTGTGATTTAAAATAGAGTGTTTATAAGTACCATGACTATGTAAATGTTGTTCTTATTACATTTGTTATACGACTTTTAGTTTTTCCTGATGTTTCTGAATTGCATTCTTTTTTTTCCCCTTGATCTGTTTGCTCTAGTGTAGGTTGATTTTTCCCCCAAAACTCCCCATTATTTAGGCATCCTGCTGAGTTCTTTTTCTTGGAGATCTCCAAATTGAGGTTCTCTGTTGTTTCTCTTCCAAGCTAAGCTGTTTCTCCCCATGCCTACTGCATAGGTGTCATCACAGAATTTTCCTTCACTGCTTTCTCAGAAGGATTCCATTGGTTATTCCCTGGATCCCATAACTCTTTCTTTCTCAGTTTGTACCCTTATTTTACTGCAGCACATTCTCAAATAATTACTTGAGAAAGAGTATTGATCAGGTAAGTTTTCTGAGTCCTTGCATAGTGTGAAAATGCCTGTTGTACCATCCTACCACTTTGGCTCGGTAAAAAATTCCAAATTGAAAAATCAGTTTCTCAGACTTTAGAGTGGTGCTTTGTCATCTAACTAACATTCATGTTGTTCTGATTCTTGACTCTGTTGATGTTTTTTCTGTTTTGTTTTCTGTTTTTGTCTGTGAGCTTTTCAGATCATTTTTCTCTTTGCTTTTATAATTTAATTTTATAGTCTCTTTTTTTTTCATTCATCATGCTGGTACCTGGACATCCCTTTCCACGTGGAGACTCAAACTCTTCCATTTTATATAATTCTTTTTCATTATTTCTTTGATAATCCCTCTCTCCCACACCCCATTTTCTCTTTCTTGAACTTGTGTTAATAAGATACTGGATCTTCCATTGCCTTTAACTGTAGTTTCTCCCTAACTGTTGTCCCTGCTCCATTCTTGCCACCCATTAATCCAGTCCCCATGTTTACAAACATAGCTGCAAGGCTGTCATTTTCTTCCTGCAGTCCCATCACCGTGCAAGCTGCCTCTAAAGACACGCAGGGCTTTTGAGGGTCTTTCTCCACTTGACTCTGCCATCCCATCTCCCCAGCTCTCCTCTTTATGCTCTAGATTCTCTCTTAAGACTTGATTAAGATTTGCAGTATGCTACTTTCTCTCAATTCAGTTGTTTTTGACTGAAGTATTTCCCTTCCCCACTTCATCTAAACAATTCCTGCTTATCTCTCGGGCCTCAGCTAGGATAGTATCTCCTCCAGTCAATTTTCTGTGATACCCTTTTTTCCTCCTCATCACACAAATATTTTGTGAGATTAGAATAAATTCTGTGGAATTCAAAGGAAAGTAAGATTACCAGGAAAAACTCAAAAGGAGCTCTTATAACTTTGTTTTGGACAATATTTACTGTGCTATCTGAAAATGCTGATAAATGTTGATCTCAGAAGTGGGGAACAACAGCAATGTCAGTGTTATTTCATGTATGAGATGCTGTTCAGAATGCTTTATAAATGTTTGGATGTTTAGTCCTCACAATAGTCCTGTGATTTGGTATTATTTTTTACTGTTATTCCCATTTTTAAGGAACTGGCCCTACATCACAAAGCCTGCAGGAAGGGAAGGCAGGATTAGAAACAGGCAACTCTGGTTTTCAAGTCTGTGATTGTAACCACTGTACTAACAGTCAATATGGAAGGAAGCTCTGTTAGTAAATAGAGACTTACATATTTAATACTTGAATGCAAACTTGGCTATAACTTGTTAGATTATAAATAAACAACTTATAAACCATATAAATCATTGTATTGCTTTAATAATTACAAATACTTACTAAGTAATAAGCTCTAAATTTTCCTGTTTAGGTGCTGCTTGACCTTGCTAGCTTAATTTTTGAAGAACAACAATCATTAGAAGTAATTCTAAAGAAAATAGCTGCCACTATTATCTCTTTCATGCAGGTGCAGAAATGCACCATTTTCATAGTGGATGAAGATTGCTCCGTGAGTACAGAGTATGACTTTTTTATTTTTAGAAAGACAGCAATTATATTCCTTAAAGTGTCACTTTTAAACCTCACGTTAGTCTCAGATGTCTCTGAACCCCAGGTATATACAGTTGTGTATGCAAAGCCAATCAGAGTATGAGCTGTTCTGGTTGAAAGGAGTAGACGGGAGGTTGGAGGGTGCCTTCAAAGCACCTTTTCACCTTCGTGTCCCTCCACTGAGTGGTTACCTTGGGAATGTCTGTGTGCTGTTTTTGTCAATGGCCATACTTCCTTGATGGAGAAATACATTGTCCTTACAGTATGCAGACCCATCGTGATCAGGGATAGTGGTGCCCTGGTTGCTCTGAGCAAGTAGAGCCCCATTCTGAATGGCTTGGGAAAAATTTTTCTTTTTATCAGAAATTGTTTAGAAACCAAAAGGTATGGCCCAAGAGAGGCAGTATTATTAAAGGTGCCTATCAGTCCTAAATCTTTTGCCAGCAATGGAAAACCACTAACTGTTCTACTTGGTAGATTTTAATCCATTGATGTGTAACAGAAAGAAACAGATGTGTGTGGAAAGATGGAGTATTCTCATCAAGTGCTGGTTACTTCTAGACAGGCCAGTTGAGGTTGAGGTTAGAATCAGAGCTCCTAGCCTATGGCAGTTTTCCTTTATGCAGTTTCTTTCCCTTTTTAACCTATGAGCCACTGTTCCTGGGATATTTCTTTCTGAGGTCATTGTTTATTTTCTTTTTTCTTTAGACCCTGAGAATAGGCTCTTCATTGGTGGGTTAGGAAAGAGAGTGGGGATCACCACCACTGTGTGGTCAGTTGTAATCCATATATGATACCTGAATTGATGGGGTTTGGGGAAGTAGAATAATAAAAAATATGTAATACTTAAATTAAAATTTTAAAAATTGTTTTAGATAGTAAGACTGTAGTATATGACTCAACATTATCTCAGTCATTTTGAGTGTGTGTGCGTGTCTAATTCTTATTCACTGGATATCAAATGAATATACTGTGCTATAAGGTAATCAATTCTCATAGTTATTATTTCATATTTTCAATCAGTTATAAAGTCCTTAATATGGAGATGATTACAAGTAGCCATCCTTTTAAAGTTCAGGTCAGAATTCATTAATGTAGCGAGTCAATTCACAATTTTTGCTCTGTGACCTGTTCGTTAGCATTTAATATTTGAAAGTTATATGTAAGACACTCCTTTTTTAGACAACGTAAATGCCACCTTCATTAACAGTCATCTCGTGCTTTTACCAGTTAACATCTTTTGTGGCAGCAACTGACTTGCATCATTGGTGCTTTGAAGTATAGCTCACTTATATGCCAGTTCATATATTTTACTCACTTTTTAACTTGATTTTAGGAATCAAGTGTCTTGATTATCATTTATACTATAACTTTTTGATTAAAATTATTTCAACAACATGAGCAAAAATCCAAATGTAAGCAAGAAAAATACAGTACTCAGTTCTTCCCTCCCCAAATTAAACTAGTATCATTGTTTTATATCTTTATTCAGTTGTAAATACAGCATGGATATGAATATGTATTCTGTTTTTTTTTAATGTACTTCCCAAAGTACCTCTCTATGTTGTTAAAACCTTCACAATTATTTTCATTAAATATTCATAAAATATTACTGAATTGCATGTCTTTTAAAAAGCTCCAAAAACAGCAATCAATGTATGCATAAAAGCTAAAACATGAGCATTTTGAATAAATGGGAAGAAAATTTGAAGCTAACATATTCATTAACACCTGCTAGAAGAACAAAAAAAAAAAATACGCAAATGAGCATTTTTGCAAGTGAGTTTCAGAAACAGGAAGAACATGGGCAGCCGACCTGAGGCTGTCAGGCAGTGAGTACTTGTGTCAGTTTAATCTGAGAATAAGTTCAAAAAAGATCACAAGTGTTGGTGTCTTTCATCAATTCCACTGACTTGCGTGTGTGTATATCTAGATAGATTTCGTTACATTGTCAAACTTACTTCTCAGTCTGTGTTGTCACTTTGTTTTCAGGATTCTTTTTCTAGTGTGTTTCACATGGAGTGTGAGGAATTAGAAAAATCGTCAGATACTTTAACAAGGTAAAATAACTCATTCTCTGTCTTTATCACAAGCAAGCTGACCCTTGAACAGCATGACTGGACCTGTGAGGTCCACTGAGAGATAGATTTTTTTTTTATATATAAATATAGTACACTACTAGAGATGTCTTTTCCTTAAGTGATTTTCTGAGTAACATTTTCTTTTCTCTAGCCTACTTTATTGTAAGAATACAGTATATAAATCATATACCATACAAAATATATGCCAGTTGACGCTATATGTTATCAGAGTGTCTTCTGTCAACAGCAGGCTATTGATAAAGTTTTGAGGGAGACAGAAGTTATCTGAGGGGTTTTGACTGTGTGGGGTGTTGGCACTCCAAACCCCTACATTGTTTAAGCCAGTATATGTAATGCTGGCTACATGGTTATTTCATGACCTGTTTAATTTAAGACATAGAAGCTACATGCTGCTTCCTCCCGACCATCAATAATTTTATTTGTGAAAATACTTAACTTTTTGATGACAGAGTTCTAGGATTCTTTTCTCCTACCTATAGGTAGGAGACCTATAGGAAAATTGCTAAAACAGTGAATGGTGTTCAGATTAGTATAGACCTGGGTATGGTATTTTTGTGAACTGGCTCATTTAAGATCCATAAGTTCTGTATTGCAGTTACATGTTTCATATTGGATAGTTGGATTCCAGTATGCAATTCATATTGCATATTGGACCCTCACTGGAAATTTGATAGGCTTCTGAACAAACTTCTCTTCGAGTCTGCTGTGATTTGGAATCAGCCATGGGGATTTAATTAATAAGAGAAGGAAGCCCATGAACCCCATCACACCAATAGCCATCTACCCAATGGCTAGAATCAAACCAGATCTCTATTGCAGGTCATTTCTTTGTCATTTTTTTTTTTTTGGTAACTTAAGAATTTTGTATTAATTTTTTGTTGTTGTTAATTATCACGTGGATAATAGAAAGTATTGATATGATTGAGGTTAGAGATCTTACTGCCCCAATTTTATTTGTGCTTTTCGAAGAACTTGGGAAAGGACTTAGAGTAAACTACCAAATGTTCTTTCACAGATTCCCTTTTCACCCTTAGCAAAAAACTGGTGTTGTTTGTTTAAGTGACAGAATATTCTAAGAAATACAAATCTGCCAGGATAAAGTGGCAGGAATTCTTGGGTATAGTACTGTTTATCATAATTTTCATTGTTCATTTGTTACCAATTATTTCACTTCCTAAAATCGTTTGTCTGAAATTACTTTATCCCTAATTATTGATGTTATATCTAAAAGCTTTTTATGACCATGGAAATAGAACATTGTCTTAAGTTTACTATCTGATATTAAAGTTTCACATTTTTTTCACTACAGTTGGCCTTTTAGAGCTTTATTTCATTTAGTGGATGGTGTTGCAATTAGCACAGTCCTCAGTAACCAAGCTCTTTGGTGGTAGTGCTTTAAAAATAACCTTTGACAGATCTAAACTACAGAACATTCTATGAGATAACTGGCCTGATCTTTTTTAAAAATTAGTATCATGGAACAAAGTGGAGGGAAGGAATATCTTGGCCATAACAGCCAAACACAATGCATAAATCTTGGTTGGATTCTCATTAAAACAGCTATCAATGAACAGTTTTTGAGAACGATCGGAAATCTAAATTTGGATCAGGTAGTAGATAGTTGATGGGGAATTGCTTTTACTTTTCTTTGGAAATAGGAAGGTACTGTGGTTAGTAGGAAACTTTTAATTTTTAGGAGATACATCCTGGTGTACTGAAGGATGAAATATTAGGATATCTGCACCTTACTTTAAAATGGTTCAGGTGGGACGCCTGGGTGGCTCAGCTGGTTAAGCTACTGCCCTCAGCTCAGGTGATGATCCCAGGGTTCTGGGATCGAGTCCCATATCAGGCTCCTTGTTCAGTGGGGAGCCTGCTTCTCTCTCTGGCTGTGCCTGCTTGTGCTCGCTCTCTCTTTCACTCTCACTGACAAATAAATAAATAAATAAATAAAATCTTTTAAAAAAATAAAAATGGTTCAGGCAAAGATAAATAAGTACATATATCTAAATTTCATATATTTAAACAAGTATATTCACACAAACATATAGATAAAATACATTGGTAAAACATTAAAAATTGTTGAATCTAGAGTAGGATATTCATTTGACTTTCAACCTTTTTATATATTTCAAAATGTTCATTAAAAATTTGAAGAAAATATTTGTAATAAAAAATTGGAAACAAGGGGCGCCTGGGTGGCTCAGTGAGTTAAAGCTTCTGCTTTCGGCTCAGGTCGTGATCCCAGGGCCCTGGGATCAAGCCCCGCATTGGACTCTCTGCTCAGCAGGGAGTCTGCTTCCTTCTCTCTCTCTGCCTACTTCTCTGCCTACTTGTGATCTCTGTCTGTCAAATAAATAAATAAAATCTTTAAAAAAATTGGAAATGAAAATCATTTCTGTAGATCATGTAAAGCAGAATTGCAAAACACGGTTGTCTGAGTTTAGAACACAAGACTAAAGTGCACAACCTGGTTTTGTTCAAACCCTCTTAAGACTGACCCCTGGGATCAGTGTGAGGCCTGCATACCTGTCTTCCATCCCCTTCTTCTCATCTCTTTCATGTGTCCTATCTTCTCATGTCTTCCCTCAGCAAGATGGAGACACTATTGACCACAGTGACTTCAAGTTTAGATGGCTAAGTGATTCTTTGTAAATAAAGAATCATTCCTTCTAAACTATTATTTTAACAGTCTGATACAATGAAATACGTTTTATCTGATTAAAAGAATTTGAGGAATTAGCAAAGGGACAGATGTAACTTGGGGGCAGAAAGGGAATTCATTTAACTCATGGTACACCTGACTTACGACTTTTTTGCTGACTTGGGCCTGGGGTGCATAGTCAAAAGTAGATAAACCATGTTCTCTCTAGAGATTTTTTTTTTACTACCTGGAGTTTTTCATTCATAAAGTTAGAATTGCATAGCCGACGTCTGCTTCCCTCTTGGCATTGCTGGTTATGACAAGTATCCCATTTCCATGTGTATTCTTTCCTAAACCCCTCTGTGTGCCATTGTATTTTCTGGCATATTGGACATTTAGTTCTTTAGCTAGTATTGAGTCCTTTCTGAATATGTGATAGTAAGTCCATGTCTTCGTGATTATGTGTGTATCCCTTTTAAAGGCTGGTATCTCCTGCCTAAATCAGTGATGAAGTTTCTTTTTCCTAAGAAGAACATTAATATAATTTTGATTTATGATGCTATAAAATTTTTGTTGCTTTTTATAAAACATTCCTTATAAAAAGCAACAAAAATTTTATAGCATCATAAATCAAAATTATATTAATATAATTTCACATATAAATATGATTCTTTCACTTTTCAGATTGCATAATGAATTGCTACATATATAAATATAAACATGTATATTTAATGTGTTTACATATATCCATAGGTATGACAAAATTCTGGAATGCTATAGCCTATAAATAATATGAAAATAACACATGACATAAATGATATAAAATGACCATATATGGAATTTAAGAAACAAATGAACAAACAAACAGACAAACCAGAAAACAGATCCTTAAATATGGAGGATAAATTGGTGGTTGCCAGAGGGGAGGTGGTTAGGGGATGGGTGACATAGATAAAGGGGATTAGGAATGCACTTATCTTGATGAGCACTGAGAAGCATATGGAATTGTTTAATCATTATATTGTACACCTGAAACTAAGACAACACTGTATGTTATAGATGAATTTAAAAAGTAAGATCAAGGGACACCTGGGTGGCTCAGTTGGTTAAGCAGCTGCCTTCGGCTCAGGTCATGATCCCAGCGTCCTGGGATTGAGTCCCACATCGGGCTCCTTGCTCATCAGGGAGCCTGCTTCTCCCTCTGCCTCTGCCTGCCATTCTGTCTGCCTGTGCTTGCTCTCTCTCCCTCTCTCTCTCGGACAAATAAATAAAATCTTTAAAAAAAAAAAAAAGTAAGATCAAGAAAAAGTATAAAATGATGAGTTATCTACATTTACCTTTGAATATTTGTACAGCAGCATAAGTCTACATAATTACATTTTATGTACTGGCATTTTGATTTTATTACCAATTCAGCCTGGTCCTCTAATTTCTAATGGTACCTGAACAAGCCCATTTGGTGTGATAGTGACCTCTACTGGTGAATATGCATTTTAAAAAAGTGTAGTCTCCCTCGATTTATTTCTGATGAATACTGTGTTCCCTCTCTGCAGACAAAACAAAAGGTATTTTTCCATTTTTAAAAATCATTCCAAGACAGTCTTAGTATAAAGATTTTTATGGGGCACCTGGGTGGCTCAGTGGGTTAAAGCCTCTGCCTTCGGCTCAGGTCATGATCCCAGGGTCCTGGGACCGAGCCCCGCATCAGACTCTCTGCTCAGCGGGGAGACTGCTTCCTCCTCTCTCTCTGCCTGCCTCTCTGCCTGCCTCTCTGCCTACTTCTGATTTCTGTCTGTCAAATAAATAAATAAAAAATCTAAAAAAAAAAAAAGATTTTTATAAAGGATACGTAAGTCAGTGTGATTACCTTAAAAGAGAGTAATTTAATGGATCATTTTAACTGATCCATTAACTAATTTTACAGTATTGAAAAGTATTCACTAATGCCTTATATCAGCTAAACATTTTATTTCTTTAAAATTTTTTTTTTAAAGATTTTATTATTTATTTATTTGAGAGGGAAAGAGAGCACAAACAGGGAGAGCAGCAGAGAGGGAAAGGGAGAAGCAGGCTCTCCTGAGCAAGGAGCCTGATGCAGGGGTGGATCCCAAAACCCTGGGTCATGACCTGAGCTGAAGGCAGACCCTTACCAACAGAGCAACCCAGGCGCCCTTTAAAGTTAGCCTGTATACTAATAATACAATAAAAAGTCTTTAAGTGATATAAATATATTTTATTATTTTAATAAAAATGAGACATTAGGCCTAATGTTGCCAGACCTCTGAATTAAAAATGATGTGTGGTGCCTTCAGCA